AACCTGCCTTTAAATGATTTTCACGTTTCTAGAATGAATAAAGATACGTATCAAATTCAATGTTTGAGAATTGAGGATAAGTAATTGTTGAGATAAGTTTTATTTTTGGATCTCATGTCTTTGTTTTAGTTAGGTTGTCAACACTGAATGCCATGTCAATATTCATCTGTCAGTTACATTGTCTATGTCAATGTCGTTCGTCAAAAACAGTCGAATTTTGATTATTTCATCGTTCAGGTTGTTTTTGGTTTCCAAGTAACAGTTTTGTTAAAAAATGCCGAACTACGTTTTTCTACAAATCCTGTTTATTGAATTAATCTCATAATAGGATATGGGCCCAGTTCAATGTTTGTCAAAATAAGCAGCTTGTTTGTCGATTGATAGAAGAAAGAAAACTAACCTGAAGACCAAGGTCCAAGGCATGGTCAACAAATTTGACAGTATAATGAAAAAGTGTGTCTTTTCTCTGCGAACCCGTTATATTCTACAGTGTTTTTAATACAGTTTGAAGCATGCTTGCCAAAAATGTAGACGTAACCAGCATCAACAAATTCGATGGGCAGAATTATAACCAGTGGAGATTCCAGATCAAGTGTGCCTTGAAAGCAAAAAGAGTTTAAAACGTTGCAGATGGTACAACACCGATGCTAACGTCCGGTGGTGAAGAGTTTAATAAATGGATAAAAAATGATTCCAGTGCTATGTTCATGCTTACAGCTGCTATGGCATGCACACAGATAACATTAATCGAGAATTGTAATACAGCCAAGGAAATTCTCGTCAAACTCTATTCAATTTATCTGCTTGAATCTGAGACTAACAAAATGATTCTTCGTGAACGTTTTCATTCATATAAAATAGATTTAGGTGACTCTGTGGCACAGCATATTGCCAAGGTGGAGAATCTGGCCAAGCCGATAAAAGATGCAGGTAATACAGTTAGCGGTGCAGCGATAATGACCACAATCCTGAATACGTTGCCAATGAGGTATAGAATCCAGACAAACGATTCAAAACTCAATAGCACGTCTCATGGATGAGGAGGCCAGTTTGTCATTCATTGAAGAAGCTAAGGTAGCATTGGCAGCAGTTTCAGTGAAAAAATAAATCATTTCCAGTTAAATGTTACAAGTGTCATAAAAGATAGCAAATAGCGAAAAATTGTCAGTTAAAAACAAAAGAACAAGCGTCCAATAGGTCAGAATCATCTTTCAGTGCAGAACAGAACACTTTCTTTGAAAATTCAAACTGTTGGATCATGGATAGTGGAGCATCAGCTCATAAGAACTATTGTAGAGAATGTTTCAATAGTTCTGGAGAAGTTGATTTTGGGAAATAGCCAAACGCTACCTGTGAAAGGCAAGGGAGTAATAAGAATCTAGAAATAATTTTCTATATGTGCCTGATCTGAAGACAAATGTGTTTTCTGAAGGTGTTGTAACTGACAAAGGAATGCAAATAAATAAGGACAATGTCAACGAAGAAATGTTTGACAAGTCTGAGCTTACTGCAGCAGTAAAACGTGATCCAAGTTCCAATCTTTATAGAATGATGTTTCGTACAGAAACCATTGAAGTGAATGTCACAACAAGTGAGTCTTTGAAACTGTGGCATGAGAGTCTTGAACACATAAATGTGAAAACAATTCGTGAAATGGTGTCTAAAGACCTGATAACTGATGTAGAGCAATGTTACCAACTTATTTTGTGAAGCTTGCGCTCATGGCGAACAACATAAGCGACCGTTTAAGAAACCTCCTCATGAAAAAAATTAAGATTGGTTATCGAATTTTTAGTGACGTTCGTGGACGAATGAGCACTCCATCAGTAAAAGGTTCGCGATATTTTGTCACTTTCAAAGATGAATTTTCCGGTTTTAAGTGAAGTGAACTTTATTAAACACAAGTCTGATGTGTTCAGCTGTTTCAGAAACTTTGCAAATAAAGTTAAAAATCAATCGGACAATTGTCGAGTGTGCCAGGACAATGATACATGGAGCTGGTGTTGCCATATTTTTGTGGGCTGAGGCTGTGAAAACAGCTGTGTATATTCTAAATCGAACCCAAACCACACAAGCTATTAACTCTACTCCATTTGAGTTATGGTATGGTGAAAAACCCTATTTAAGCCATTTGCGAACATTTGGTGTTGAAGCATATTCCTTGATTCCTGAACAGAAAAGATCCAAATTAGATCCAAATAGTAAAAACAACATATTTGTTGGATACGAAAAGATCTCAAGTAATTATAGACTTTTTGATCCAATAACAAAGAATGTTATTGAAAGGAAGAAATACTCGAAGTCATCTCCACAAATTTTAATGGTGTTGTATGTGTTGATTGTGTAATAACACCATTAAAATTTGTGGAGATGACTTCGAGTATTCCTTCCTTCCTTTGAAAGATTCCACTCCACTTTGAGCAATATGGACTGCTACCAAAGATCATAGAATTATGAACTGTCAGAATTCGAGAATTTTTTGCACAGTCAACTTTACCACAGCTTATGAATCAATAGTGAAAGATACAATGAGCCCTTGAAAATTTTTAAAATCATTGATAAGTTCTTAACTTCAACGAAAAAATCTAGTTCAGCTTATTTTACTCTAATGAAGTTTGAGTTTGAGAACTTATTTTTGTATCGAAATTGGATTATGAATTAAGAGTTCAATGAAAATGCCTCAAAATCGGATCTGAATATTTCAGGAAATAATAATAAAACATCTGTAAAATTGAATGCGCGTTCGTGAAAAGTAGGTGACTCTATTCATTTTTCCCGCTCTATTTAGATATCAAAACAGTCCCACAACATTTTTCCATTAAAGTTTTCTGTTTTTCCTTAAGATTGACCTAGACTCCGATCTCGATTTTATTTAGTTTTCATGTGTAATATAAGTGAAATATTAAATACTAAATGATACACGAAGTCATCTCCACGACATATAATGTGATTAACACATCAGAATTGGTTGGTACATGTTTCGGACATATATATGTCCATCATCAGCCTTATGAGAAATTACATAAATAGTGTCATGTGGATAAAAAAAGGTTATGTGACCAAATTTAACATTTCAAAAATTGTTTCCTTTGTTTGGGTTTTAAGAAATTATTATATGGGGAAACCCAACAAACCCCCGGAAATTACCATGCAATGTTTTTTGTAATGACCATCAAATGGCACATATGGATGCGACATTGGGATATCCCAATGAATCCCAATGTCGCATCCATATGTGCCATTTGATGGTCATTACAAAAAACAAAAAACATTGTATAGTAATTTCCGGTGGTTTGTTGGGTTTCCCCATATAATAAATTCTTAAAACTCAAACTAAGTAAAAAAATTTTTAAATGTTGAATTTGGTCACATAACCTTTTTTTATCCCCATGACACTATTTATGTAATTTCTCATTAGACTGATGATGGACATTTGATTTATATATCCGGAACATGTACCAACCAATTCTGATGTGTTAATCACATTATATGTCGTGGAGATGACTTCGTGTATCATTTAGTATTTAATACTTGACTCCACTTTGAGAAACCATGGACTTCTACCAAAGATTAAGTGAAATATATTTAGCAAGTATGAATAGATGATACAAAGTGGTTAATAAATTATAACTAGACAAAGATTTTGCCAAAATAAAGATGGAGTCCTGTATTTTAGTTATAAAAGACGATAGATACTTCAATGGAGGGGTGATTTAGAACCATCAAAGTGTCCTCCATCTACAGGTATCGTATGTACTATCTGTGAATCACTCAAATACAAAAATATACGCCAAACTTCATCAGCGGTATCTACGACCAAAAATAGGAAAATAAGTTTGAATAAACATAGGTAGCAAAATGGCCTATAATGATGGTGAAGATAAAAAAATTTCAGAATTTCAATCGGGAGTATAAAAATAACATGGTGGGTCTACGTTAAATATTACTCAAGCTTTTTGTACGCAGATTTTTCGATGATGAGTCTCGGGTTATGAAAATATACACCTCTTTACAGAAAAACATGAAGCCATGTTTCGTATTGATCAGATGTACCATTTTCCAGAAAAATCGACATAAAAATTTGTTGCGCCCCACAAATTATGCACAACACTGTAGTAAATCATGGTGATTCTGAAAGAAAATGCGCGTCAGTTTCTGTAGGTTTTGTGAACACAAAATGTGAGAACACACCTGGATCATAAAATAACGAATTGATTGATTTCAGATAGAAGATAGGAACTCATTGCCAAGGGAGGTGTTCCCCGAGGCATATAACCTCCAGAAATTTAAGACGAACACCAATTCCTACCTTCTTTCCCTTGGTTCTCACGATGTTCTCTGAACATTACAGGATATCCCTCTTCGTGGGAATCAGAACATAAAAAAAATTCAAGGAATTCATCCATTTCACTACAAACGTATGCAGAATTGGCCGCCAGGCGATTTTCAAATGAGGATTGAGTTCTGCTTATGGACTCTTCACTGGGAAGAGGGTGTTCAATACGCACAACACTCATATACGAGGTATTTCACCGTGGATGGAACATTGGAAGTAGGTATCTGGAGGACAGAACGACAGATCATTTCGAAAGTTTGTAGGCGTTAATAACCTAACATGCTCTATCCGTCTAAAATATTGTCATCAATATCAATTCAGTCGACTTATTCATATATATCCTTATTTATATACTTCTACTTATTTATATACGGCCTACTCGTATAACGATGATAAATGTTAGAGGAAACGATTTTCTATTCAATGCCAATGCTGTAATGCGTATTCAACGATATCACAAGAAGTCTAGTATATAACACTAATACTCATGTCTTGTGCAAAAAACACGATTATTTTGTAATTGGTTGTATAGGTACATAGCTAATTCACCCATTATGGCTGGATTATGTCTATTATCTTGGAGACATCGAACAAATTTTGGGTTTATGACCCCCACATTATGAATCAATAAATAATTACATATAATCGTAAAGATATTACTCACTTTTTCATTTAGTATAACAGCAGCACTTTTATCAGCAAATTTACTCAAGTCAATTCCCAGTCTCTGAGCAAATGGATAGTGTAATAAACTGTCCATAGACAATAATGTTAAACTTTCATTACTTCTACAGGATAATCTGCTTATATCGAGTTTCCTATTTCCGTGATTCTCGAATATTGCAGGCTGTAGTTTTTCCGCCATTAAAAATTGTCTACATTTTTCTTGTTGAAATGACTTTTGCAGATTTTTAGCCGATTTCAAATCATTCATACCTGAAAAACAGACATGAAATGTGGAGTTGAATATAGTGTTACTAAATTCAAAACCTGTTAATAATGAGGTTGTGTAGATTTGAAAATGTTTATTTTCACTTTCACATGCTGTTTCATCTATTGTATTAAAACGATGAATCTCCTGGCAGTCAACTGGATTGAAATAACTTAGGCACACATTACATGAATATCTTCCACCTAATATATCACAGCTTTTCGGTTCTTTGCTATGTGAGTAATTGGACATATTGGTCCAAAAAGATGTCACATTATATGCGAGTTTTTTATGATTCAATATGTTTGATCTGCATGTAGATTGTAACTTCTTGTAGTCCAATAAACTAGCTAGAAACAAAATACATTTCATTTCCTTGAATTCAAGTCACATTCGGGGTATACTAGGTGGGGTTTCTACATTCCCAGACTGAAACGAAAGCAATGAATCGAAGCAGAAATAAAGGGCGAGATAGAGAGAGAAAGAGAGCATCATTTTTTATTTTTACATGAAAAGCATCATGGTTAAAAAGCATGTAGGTCGACAGTGCCTTAAGGTTAATATGAAATAGAGAAGTTAAAATAATAATAAAAATAATACAATCAATAGTAGAACTCGACCAACATGTTACAAAAATGAATTGGAATGAAATCATATCATAAGGAAATGTATAATCACAGCGTGTCTCACTTTAAACGGACTCCCTTCTGAATCTCAGCTATGAGTTGTGCCATCCTTACCAAATTTGGACTGATGTGAACAACCATCAACATGATCAGTTTTTCAGAGACAAATATATCATTATCGACAGTGCCATGCGTTTTTATTCAAATAAGCAGAGCCAATTTTTTGCAGGAAAACTCTATTCATTCCAAATTAGCAGAATTATCTTTGAGTTCCAAATTTTTGCCTCGAAAAAAATAATGGATTCAAATGAATTGCAAATATTAGAACGTTCGATGGCTCTGGTAGGTAGAAAATTATGTTTTGAGGGAAAAATCAACATTATATACTTTTTTATTGAAAAGGGATATTCTCAGATATATTATGAACATGAAAAAATTGATATACAGGGTGTCCCAAAATTGCTGGGACACAGAGCTACCACGTGCAGAGGAGGTCAAAGTAAGTTGACTGAATCCAAATTATTTATGTGCCAAAATGTACCGTTTGTCCGTGAGAAAGGTTCAAAGTTCACATAAAAAAACACAATTTTGTACCCTGCTCAGAAATGAGTAGAACGAATTTGATGATATTTGGCAATAGTGTATTTCAGAGGATTACTTTTCTTTTGATAATCGAAGAAACCTGGAAGAAATTGTAGAAGGGTCAAAACCACCCTCACCCCCTGACATTTTTTCCAGAACTTTTTTAGGAGTCATAATACGGTTCTGAAATTTGAGCTTGAAGATGCATCAATTACTTCCATTTTATTACTCTTGTAAAAATTTCGTATACCGCATAGTTTCGAAGAAAAAAATATTCTCTCAAATAATGCTACCAGATATTCCCAGTACAAGTTCAATTAAATTGTGATAAAAAACTTAGTTGGCAGTGGAAACGAAGGCGAGTCGTGATTTTGACAGGAAACTAATTTATTGTCATTCAAGCTTCTCGTTGACCTTGTCTGTAAATGTTTCAATGGATTCTTCAATTTTGTTATTACCGCGAGTACCATTACCGACCATTTATTATTATTCAATTGTTGTTGGTATTTCAACTGCTATCATATATAGATTTCTCTTATAATAAGCAGACCGATATGATCTTAGTTCTTCTTGAAACCAGTCAAAATTAACGCTGGAAGTCCCCGAGTACAAAGACCTGATACGGAAGAAGCTGATCTTATTGAAATAATCAATGACCATCCCGAGATAAGTACCAGATCTGTGCAGCGACAAACAGGAATTCCAAAAAACACTGTGAATCGGATCTGCAGAGAATAATTAATTCCATTTCATAAACGGTTTGTGCAAGAGTCAATACCATTTGACCACGGATCACGGTTAAATTTTTCACGGATTGTTCGGGAGCGCAGATTACTTGAAAACAGATTTCACACAAATATTTTTTTTACTGATCAGTCTTGTTTTACACGTCGTGGCATAACGAACGTGCACAATGAGCAAGTATATGCTGATAAAAACCCACATGCCAATAAAGCTAGACACTATCAACGAGAATTTAAAATTAATGTTCGGATCGAATTTATCGAAACATTTTTGGTTGGGCCAATCCGATTGCCAGATCGCCTTGATGGTGCTAGTTACCTTCACTTTTTTCAAGAAATTTTGCCAGATTTATTAGAGGACTTGCCCCTCAATATTTGTCGAAACATGTTCTTCATGCATGACGGTGCACCACCTCATTTTGCACGTGCAGTAAGACAATATCTGAACGAACAATTTCCTGATAAATGGATTTGGAAGGGGACAAGAAGCACCTATTCAATGGCCTCCGAGGTCTCCAGATTTGAATCCTTGCGACTTATTCATCTGGGGAGCGTTAAAAACACAATGAAGTACAAATTGATACTTCCGAACAGCTGTGGAACAGAATCCAAAATGCCGTTGACGCACTACGAGACAACGATGATGTCCTAAGGCGGGTGCATTAAATTTTTTTACGTCGAATTGATATTTGTATTGTTGAAGGTGGGCGTCATATTGGACATTTATCATGGAGAAATGTTCTGCTTCTGTTTCCACTGTCAACTAAGTTTTATATCACTATTTACTTAAACTTGTACTATAGGAATATCTGCTTGCATTATTTGAGAGAACTTTTTTTTTCTTCGAGACTATGCGGTATACGAAATTTTTACAAGAGTAATAAAATTAAGGTAATTGATTAGTCTTCAAGTTCAAAAAATTTCAGAACCGTATCATAACCCCTAAAAAAGTTCTGAGAAAAATGTCAGGGGGTGAGGGTAGTTTTAACCTTTCTACAATTCCTTTTAGATTCCTTGGATGTCCAAGAGGAAAGTAATCCTCTCAAATACGTTATTGTGAAATTTCATCAAATTCCTTCTACTTATTTCCTGAACAGCGCACAAAAATGTGTTTTTTTATGTGAACTTTGAACCTTTCTCACGGACAAACGGTACATTTCGGTAAATGAATAAATTAGGTCCAATCAACTTATTTTGACCTCCTCTACACGTGGTATCTCTGTGTCCCAGCAATTTTGGGACACCCTTTATATATATAAAGAAATAAATTGAGAATTCGCATTTTCTATGTGATGAAAATATTCACGCATCCAACATAGTGCTATCGCAGAATCACTACAATAACATATTATTCTATTGAATGAAATTTTTTCCGAATAGATACGCGTTACAAATGACACTAATTTTTCTCCCAGAACTGAAGCGCAAAGTTCAAGTTTTGAAATAGATAGTTTTTAGAGGCGTGCCACCTTCGATTTCGCACACACAAAATGAGAAGTTATTTCCAGAAATAAATACAAAATAAATCACTGCGCAGAAGCCTTTTTCAGAAGCATCAGCAAAGCAATGCAAGGCACAATACTCATAATTATTATTTGATTAATGTCGTGGTAAATTTAGCTTTGTTAAGGCAGATGTTTCAGCGGCGAAAGTTTCACGGATATGAAAAGTCTCTTGCGATCGTGTATCACCTCACTCTAGTTCAAGACACAATAATCTGTTAATCAAATGTTTGATCATGAAGGTGACAGGAGACAAAGCTTCAAGAGGGGTCTAACAGCCTCGCTAGATTAGAGAGCAGACTGCGTTTAGTGCAGCGTATGTCAAATGAGTTGACAGAAAATCGAAATATTTCCGATACGGGATTCCATTGGAGTCCTAATATTTTCAAGGAACTCCCTGTATCAGACTCGAAAGTGCGGGGATTGACGGACACAACAGATTCCGGTAAATGAGGTAAAAGTGAAGGATGATTGCTGGACCATTTCCGCAATTCATTCAATGCTGAAACTAATTCCTTTTTCAAATTCAGGACACCTTCTAAAGTTGAAGAACCTGTACAAATGTCGTCCATATATGTGGATTTTCTCAACGCCTCCGCGGCAAGAGGAAAGTTGCATTCTTCATCGTCTGTCAATTTTAGCATAGTCCTGATGGCTAAGTATGGAGAGGAATTCAGTACATATGAAATGGTTTTGAGGCGGTAATCCTCAAGAGGATTGGTTGGGTTGAAACGCCAAACGATTTTTTGAAACTCTTGATGTTCTTTTACTACCAACATTTGACGATAGCTCATTTTTATATCAGCGGTAATTACAAATGGATGACGCCAAAATTGTAACAGAATGGGCGTGTATACCTTGGTAGAATTTTTAACAAAATTTTAGAACAAAAACTGTGATCTCGCGCTAACTCACTCGGTCAGAAATCATGTCTGGAATAGTCTTGTTTCTGTATTGGGGTTTTGACGTCACATCATCGACTCGTTTTCAGAGGTCCGAAAAATCGGGGATTTCAATAATTTCTTATAAACTGTAGGGAGCTCACAGCAAGAAACGGTTTGCGGTGGTGAGCTAGTTTGGGTCAGTTCTATCGAATTATGAAATAAAAATTTTTTTGTGACATAAGCCCATTGAAACGATATCCCTCTGGAGCTTGGGCGTTACCATCGAGACAATAAGGCCTGCATGCTCCATGGTGACGTCACCTTAGTGAGGCCTAACCAGCGGCTCGAAACGACAAGCGCTTATGGCGCTATAAGGCGATTGAGCCAATTTTGCTGTTTTTTTGAAGCCTTCCGGTTAAAAAAGGATGCCAGTCGTCAACAAAGCCCTTCTTCGCATCCCATTCGATTTTATTATGGAAAAACGAAGTTTCAAACCAAAAACCAGAGTAAACCACGAATACCCACCTACAGCAACCCATTCGAATTAAATATATTGGCAAAACTTGTGGTGAAGGTAAACTTCACACCTACTTCTACAGGGCCCGCAGAACATAAACTTATCGTGAAATTGATCGAAAGAAAATTGTGGAAAATGTATTTTATTTTGATAGACATGCCGTTTGTTATGATTACCTATATTTATCTTGAAGAATTCCTATTACCTAAAAAATTAGCCAGTGAGTATTTTCAATTTCCTGGTTGGATTTTTTACCCAATTGATCGTTAGACTTGAAACAGTAATTTTTAAGGGTAAAACTGCATTCATCATGTGATGTTCTTTTTTTTTCGAAAATTTTGTTGGTACCTACGTATTTTTGTCTGAAAAACACGAATTTGATAAAGAGAATGTGAACAAACCACTATTTATCGAGATATTTCAAGAAGAAGGTCGAAATTTCGCCTTCTTTCTCCCCTTGTGTTGGGGGCATTTGAAGCTACTTGCTCTTTTTATT